TACTATATATATATATATATATATATATATATATATATATATATATAACAGAAGGCTTAATAACTATTTGTATATCCAAAAACAGCATCATAAATGTCTTAAATATCATGTTTAGCTTGCTATAAGCATAAGTTCCATATACCTGCATTGTAAATGTACGATTGTTTTCTTTCTCTTCAACTGGGCTGGAATCACGAGAAACACTATTACTGCTATAATTTCTACCTATCCTACTTGATGATCGACCACTCCTCATTCCTCTGCCTAAAAATGAGTGATGAAAATAGTGCAGTGAATTGACCTGAGAAAAAGAAACAAACTTTACATACTTGCTTATATGGTACGAAAGAACAATAGTCACCGACTTTTCTGACCTTATATCATGTCCCACTTATAATTTCTTTAAAGTAAAGCGTTAAAAGGTAAAGGCAATATGGGTGCATAAACATGTAAGCAAAAGACCTTTAATGCCGACAGAAATATTTGCATTACGTTTGGCAGAAACACCGACTCGTTCTGGACCTCCTGCAAAAAAAAAAATGGTTGAATTGCAAAATTTTTTCGCATCATTTATGTATAGAAGATGCTAAAAACCTTCCCTCCGTCACCTTTACATCTTCGAGTTATGACTATTTAAAGTATTTAGTGTTGTTACATTTTGATACCGAAATCCTCTCCTGAGAGACCAATCTGACGCATATGCATGCCGTGCATGTTTTGTATGCTATATTCCTATGTACAGTGCAGTTAATTATAACAGATCTTGATCCTACTGAACTAAAAGGACGATAAGATCAAGATTTGCTATATCATTGAGAAAAAAACACTTTCTACCTCGCGTTTTCGAAACTACACCACTTCGCTTTATACGCTCATCCAGCATCGCTTTACTTTTGTCATTCATTTTGCCGATAAGTTGAAAAACTCGATCACCTTCTTCTTTCCAAGCTACTACGATAGCATTAATTGCAGCGTTACGTACATTATTATCACGATCATCAATGCACGCTGCGATTTGTTTCAAAGACTGCTGCAAACATATTACATTTAAGACAGTTGGTAAAAAACTGATAGCATCCATTTGTGTGTGATCACAAAGATGCACAGAACTAAACTCTTCAACGATTGAAAGCGATCAGTGTAGTTGCTTAAAGCATTTAAAAATAAAGCAAACTTATTCCCACTAAAATTTTATTTTGGATCTTTCAGAAATTTGACGAACATCAAATTTCAATTTCTTCAGAAGAGTAAGATGGGATTTCACAACTATCTCGGAAAAATAGCAGAACTAAAGAGACTTACAGCTGGTGTTGTAGTGGCAGCCATCCCCGTCGTATCGAGTAATTGTTCTAAAACTTGCAGGCATTCTGTCCGTTGTCTCGAATTCTTCGTCTTCAAACCCTCAATTATAAGTGGAAATATCTTTGGAGGACTGACCAGTTCGGTGACCAGTTGGATTATAGTACGAACTGGTGTGCGGACCGAATCTTTTGCTTCTCCTAACTAAAAAAACGAATTTTCAAAAAGATATTGACAAATTTTCGACTTATAGTGGACTAATAGGCAGTAATCTGAGGTGCTATTTGTTCCTATACTTGAAAAAAATATCATCAATGACTTGAAATGAATAAACTACAAGTCATATTCCTGCTTTACAGAAGACTAATAGAAAAAAAAGAAACCTAGCCACTAAAAACTTAGCCACTAGATATCAATTTCCTTGAAATGTAAAGCTATTTCTAGGGTTTCCCAGCGTAATGAAAAATGGACTTTGGACTAATATCACATCAATAATTTTCCGCTGCAAACTGGAAGTAGGAGAACCAAAATTAAAAGACCTAAGCTTGCACTGCACGACAGGAACACATAGTTGGGATTCCTTTCACAAAAAAAGAAAACCGTCAATATATGAAAACTGAAAATTCCAGAAAGGAACTGAACCTTTAGAAGTAAATATGGAACAAAAGAGTACATCTCTTGATCCGAGAAAGGCTCGTTATGTTGCAACAAAAGGTTGAATATTCCTTGCGTTAAATCAAGCACTTTCAGCAAAACTGTTGGATTCGTTTCCAAAAATCGTAATGAAATCCATTTCAGTAGTAAATCACTATTTGATATCAAAGATTCCGGACAATCGGCGACCAGCTGAACAGAAAGAAAATAAAAGTTTATAAAAAAAAGGGAAATAAAATATTGCGCTGGAATATTCTTATGCAGTAATTTTCACTTTTTCCGTTGGAAATCAGTCGTTTAATAAAAACTATTGCATTTTGAGGATCAAATCTGATCTTACATTTCAGCATGCTCGAAATTCATTTTCTGAGCATTCTTATATATTTTCGTTTATTTCACTGTACTTATATCTAACAGCCTCATAAAAAATGGAATAAGTTAACAATCCGACAGTCTACCGATTGTAGGATGTCGATTCCTTTAAGCTGTTGTTTGAAATCCTTGTTAAACAGAAATGTTAACAAAGATGCTTGGGTAACATTACCCAGCAATGTTTTCAGTTGCTCGACATGCTCACTTTCAGGTTGATCGAAGTTCCACTTGAGAACCTGAAACTACCTAGACAAAAGTTTTTACTCCTGACTACCTTCCTATAAGTTATTTTTTGCTAGTTAGCAGTTCAAAAAAAAAAACTTAGATAATTTCAGGAACGAAAAAACATGCCCGAAGATTCCTTTCATCTTTTAACCTCACTCCTTTGTCTTTATTAATCACCAGAAATTGATCCTTCGGCTTCACTGATTCGTCAGGTTCCTACAAAACCAATCGCATATTACTAGTATTATGATAGCGTACTATGGACACTATCATAATATTAATACTACCAATCTACAGAAACAAACAATAAAGTGAGATTAATATTCAAATATTAGAAAGAAATTTTAATTGAAACAAACCTTTGCAGCTTCAAATTCTTTCTTCGATGTCTTCGATGGCTTCTCTTCCGTATTATCCTCTTCGCTGACTTCTTTTGAACGTGTTTTTCCACCAACATTCGAATTTCCTACACCTGGTGCTGGCGGTTTCAGAGGCTGAGAATAAATAATTTAATTTTCTATAGAACGAGATATTGGAGAACTTTTTATGAAGAACTGAACTCGTGGAAATGGAAAATCAGTAGCTCAATGCTGAAAATTCTCTTAATATGGAAACTGTCACAACTTGCTGGAAAATCAAATACAAAATGACATTTTGAAACCACTACTACCACCACGAAATAACAAGCATGCAAAAATACAAAATGAAACAAATGACTCAATACGACTAATGTATTTGTGGCAAATGAAAGATGATTGCTACTACCAATTAATTACAAAAGCCAGAAGAACAAAGTAATATCTACCGAAAATTTAATACGTCTTTTAATAATTCCTGATCTGTCCAAATCTTCAATGTTTTTTCTTATCTTACTTTTACCTTACATCAACAGCCCTCACGCATTGTAGTACGCATATTGTGAATATGCTAAATGAAACACTGGACACCATTCCACGCAAACACCAATGTTGAGCATATAAAGAAAATTTCCTAATAATGAGCCTCAAACTTTTGTGTGTAACTTTTTTATAAAATATAAAATTGAATAAAAATGCAGAAGAAAGCAACTTACTGAAACTGAATTCGAATTAGCGTTCCCAGCACCTGTTCCATTTTCAGGCTAAATGGCATTCACCGTAAAATAAAAGAAACATAAAACACATAATTACCACAACATCAGAAGGCAAAAACAAATCAAAATACCGCATCCAAACACCAAAACAAAAAAGAAAAAAAAACTTTCGAAGCACAACAAAAACACCACACATAAGAAGGGATTTTTTCCTTAACTTAAATGAAACATTCGAAGTTTCTGGGAAAGCAAACAGCAGAATGATTCTGGAAAAATGTAGCATTTCAAGTCAATAAAAAAGAACCGAAACTACAATGTTTTTATTAACTGATTCGCTGACTGATAATTAAAATTCAGCAATCTATTCAGAAGGCGAATAGGTGATTAAATGACTGGGATAGTGAGCCCCTCCCAGAAAATAAACTGACCAGTCACAAATTGTTAGCAGCACTCGCAATTAACTAAATATCCAGAAAGTCCCGGTACCAGTTTTTTATAATTACTACTAATGTAATGTATGCAAATGAACAACTAACATTGCTTTTATGCATACTTTGTACCATAATTGAAACAACATCTGTACCAGCTTCTTGAACTGCCTTCTCACAGAAATCTCTGATCTGTAAATTATCTTTTTATTGGATGCTAATAATGGAATGCTGAAGAATAATCTGGCGGTTTAAGGATATACATTTTATAACTTTCATTTTCTAAACATTACTACATCAGTCTCAGGAAAAGACTAATTTCTTTTTTTTATTGACATACTTTTTGGAAAAAGGGGTAATTATTAAACATCAAAACTTACTACTGCATCAGTAATAAATAATTACAAAGTTCTTGTGCATTTAAATTTAATGTCACTTATGAAAATCGATAGGAAAGTGTCACTGAATTTCAGAAATATTCAGCTCACACACCTTCTATTTCTTATTCTTTATCAAAGCAAATATTAAAAATGAAAAAGGCTTTTAACCTTCGCCTTACCCAACACATTTTTTTTTAATCATCGAAGAAAATTAAGTTACTAATAGCATACCTTTGCTAGTTTCACCTTATCTTCCGCAATATCGGTAAGTAAAACCATACACGACTTTTCACCAACAGCTTTCATAGCAGCACCTAACGCAGCATAGGAAGCATCTCGTACTTCAGGATCCGAATCACCAGTGAGCTTCACGATTATTGGAGCCAGTGATTTTAAAACTTTCTTGGGGACAGTTTGCGGATTATGTCGTTTGAACACTCGATATAGGAAAAGGTTCGTTTGAATTTTGATATGAGGATTTTGCTTATCAAGAGCTGTTTGGATGTCTTCAGCTATCGCTTCCAGAGTAGTCTAAATGCAATGCGCAAAATCGAAGTTTGATTATACATCACAAAACAAGCTCTTACATGCTTTTAACTATAATCTAAAACCCACCGAAGCAGCAACAGCATCAATACAATCAATGAGTGGATCTCTTAAAACCGGCTTCTTTTCTTTGAATTTTTCAAATATTGTTGGCGCAACCATGGTGGCATACTGCGCAAATTTTTTACGCAAACCTGTTGCAAATGCCGTTAGACATCGAGCTGCTAGAGCACAAACATTGATATTAGCATCTTTCTCCAGAATCTTAACAAAAAAATGTTTTCAAGTATAAACATCTTGCATGAAATTCATTTGATAAAAATACGTGTCTTCCTGCAACTACTGCAACAAAACACCAGGACTACGGAAATATATAAAACAAGGAAGAACTACGCCATGCAGAAAAGACCAGTAAATTGTACACTGCTTCGTGCAATCTATGAGATTTATTATTTCATTTTGTAATTGTAGCATCTAAAAAAAAGCCTGTGGGACAAAAAAGTTGTCGAAATTAAATTACCTTCTTAAGCAAGGCTACAAATTCTCCATAATTAGCCTTTGGACAGAGTTTCGGATTCTCAGTGCAAAGAACAAGTAATGACTGCAACGCATCTCTCCGATCTACCCATTTTTTCGAGTCAATACCTTCCATGAAGTTTCCTGGCAACTTTGCAAGTACATCCACAGGATCTAACATATCCCAGGGATCGATTTCCTGTGCAGCTGGTTCAACACCTATAGTGAAAGTAAATAATAAATCGATTAATTAATTAATTATATATATATGTGCATATACGCATGTATATATGCATATATACACAGCTGTAGAATCAACGGCTAAATATATATATATATACATATATATATATATATATAATAAAATTCTGAAATCAGCAACTTTTAGTACCTGCAGCTGTAGGGCCAACAGCTAAAGCGTCTGCATTGGAAATTGCAACACTTCCACAGGATACCGATTCTTTTTTTCGCATTGCTTCTTCATTATATTCGGCGGTGGCTTGATCTCTACTATCACATATCTTAAAAAAAATATAATTAAGTCGAAGGCATGCGAAGTCCGTGTACTACCAGAGCTTCCTTTTGCATAGAAATAGAGGCTGTAAAAAACAAAAACAAACAAAAAAGCAAAAAAAAGAGAGAAAGATATTTTTTTTACATATTTGTAACAAAAGCAAAATTCGTTTTCCGCCATAAATTCGGAAATTTCACTGCCATGTACACTTGCATCAGTAATATAAAATTAAAAATTACCTTTTTGAGGTTCCAGAAAGTAAATTTGTATGCCCTCACTACTCCTCATTACCAAGTAAATAACTATTACCGGTAAAATTAATTACGAATTACTTTAATGGTTAAGGATGCTCCAGCAAACATGGACAACGACGGACGAAAATATAAAGAAATCTGAAGGTTTTCAGAATAAAAACGCTCAATGACTTATCGTAACTAAGAATATATCTTATACTGAAGTTCGTCATCAGAAAACCGTCGAAGGTCCATATAAATCCAGAAAACATCATACCTTTTTCATTTTTACTTTATCCTCTTGCAAATTGCCCAAGAATGTGTTCATCACTTTATCACCTGTCAAACGCATAATCGATCCAAGACCAATGCATGCTGCTTCTCGTACTTCTGCATCCGGGTCGGCCGTAAACTGGAAATTAATTTCAGTCACAAGAGTTTTGAAATATTTTTTCTATACTTTTGGTAAATTTCTACAGCCATAAACTTTTGCAATTTCTACTTTCTATAAACAATATAAATTGTACCTTAACCAAAATCGGTGTTACAGCTTTGATGGTTTTTTTGGTGCTGATGTTTGGTTATGATTTTTCATCATTCGATAAATGAAATTGCATGCTTGTAACTTGATTTGTGGATTTGGCTTATTGAAACAACCAGACAGTTCATCTACTAACATATCCAAATTGACCTATATATAAGAAAGAAAATCATAGTATGATTCTTTACCATTCGACAAATGAAAAAAATAAAAACAAACAAAAAAAAAACTGTTAGGAATGCCATTCAAATTGTGATTCGAAAATCTGAACTTACCGTTAGTGCTATCATATCAATACATTCAATCAGAGGATCACGCAAGGTTGGCTTTTTTTCTTTGAAACGTTCGAAAATGACTGGGATATACTGAAAAAATGTCAAGAATTGGCTCGCTATAGTCCGTTATCTTTGTGATCATTGTCACTGAATCATCGTAAATAATTATATCATTAGCGCCGTAACTATATTTAATATTTCACCACAAAAAGCAGTCATTATCATAGCCGCAACATATGTGCTATCATTATGTTATCATGCATCATTTATGATAACTTATATTGCCCTACTAAATATTGATAAAACATCATTCACTAGACCAGCATTACTAGGTCACTACAGTTATTGCTTTCCGTCCTTCTCAAGCGAATATTCAATGAAATAATATATTAACTTATTCCTATTTGACCAGATTATTTAGATTGATTTAATTACTCGAACTGGAATGAAATTCATGGCATCGATCGGTAATTCATTGAAAAATTCCGCGGATTTTTTGAAATTCCCATGCGAATATATGGATAAAATGGTTAATTAATAAATGAATTGATACCAATGTAGCAAACTGTGCAAACTTCGTTCGAAGACCATTCGCAAGACCTGTGATGCATTTCGCTGCGAGAGCACATACGTTAATATTCGCATCTTTTGCAAGAACCTGATATTAATAGCATAATTTTACTCATTAGTAGAAGAGATAAAAGAAATTATCTATTTCTTTTGCTTAAATAGTTCTCTGAAATCCACTGAAGTGATTTATTTTGTGACATAATTGACATGATACCTTCCGTAAAACATAACTACTTTCAGTAAAATCCGGTCGGAGTTTCGAACAAAACTTTTAAGATTCGCTGAAACTTCTTATCTCTATCTCCAGTCCAACCTTTTTAAGATATTAATCAGTTCTGTCAACCATAATATTATTGTGAATATAAACTGTGAAGAATTACATTTCGCAAGCTTTGTGTTATGCTGAAGTAATCAACTTTCGGGTCAAGCCGAGGAGTCTTAGCCATTTCATTTATCAATGCCTGCAGAGCATCACGTCTTTCTGTCCACTTTTTTGACTCCAGCCATTCATTGAATTGTTCTGGCAACTTTGCTAACACATTCACCTGAAAATTAGAAAACAATTTTAATTTTCTGGCAGTAGTTTAACCTGGATGAAACTGGAAAGAAAAAGAAATAGGAAAAAACAAAACAAAAAGAAAAAGCATATATATAATTGGATATATGTAGTAATAGCGCGCAATATGTATTAGCTACCAAACAGACTGTCAGCTTTAACTAAAAGTCGTTTAATTCATATGGAAATTCACGACCATTGATCAGAATTATGACATGACTACATTAAAACCACTAGCAGTCCTCTTTACGTTGTATCATCACTGCAAGACATGCACACAATATCTGCAGTGCATGTTGCATTGAAGGTCTAACAATTCTCTAAATACTTATTTTTGGCATTATAGAAAATAAGAAGTAAAGAACTATGGTTCGGTTTGAAATGCTTGAAAATTCCAGACATATTCATTAAAGATTGAGTGAAAAGTAAACAAACCTCGCTCAATAGACTCCAGTCATCCATAACAGTCCCTGAAAGAGATAGTACTTTTTATCATTATCATGACCTTTATCAACCATGCAAACACCCACCACTACAACCACTTACGAAAAGGATGAAAACTAAGAACTGAACGATAGATGAGCGAGGTGAAGCTCTTCTAGCTGCCGGTGGCACTGGTTCAATTATGCAAATACTCAAGTTTCATTTAGAATTTGACAAATAGCAAAATATGTGTTGGGAGTTGAGAGTTAGAAGCGAAAGAGACTTCGTGCGTGGTCTGTTGAGAGATAACTTGCTTGCAGAACTTCTTAAGGTCTAACCTTGTCTCTTAGAAGAGTGATGTCTCGATAAGTCCTTCAAAAGTGTCACTCTCAGGAATTTCGGGAGATTTATTGAGGTAATTTGTGAGGGATTTCCTATGAATTACTCGAAAGAGGAAAAACACAAATGCTTTTGTGTGTGTTTTACTTCAAAATCACTGGATAATTTGTATGCAGTGGAATAAATTTGTACGAATCGAAAACGACAGCGTATTTTGAGTGGAGAAACTGCTACTGTGTCGAGAGGAATATTATCTAATGGTCGTTGACTCTGTCTCTGCACGAAAGTATGTCAATTATGGTAGATTAACATCTAAAGGCTCATGTCGAAGCATTCTTGAATGGATGAACTTCTCATTGGAATGTCCTTCTATACGTCACATACACACACGTTTTTAAAGAACAAATTTTAAAAAGCATCACAGTGGTAGATACTTCGGCCTCATTCAACCTTTAGGCTAAAGTTCTTGGATGTTTATAATCTCTGTTCATAAGAACCCATAGCTTCTTACATAAAAGATCACACCGTTCGATAGCCTATAAATCTTCATATTGTACTGAGATCATTCCGTTGTACGGAGATTATTGCGTAACTGATAAAAATTCAATGCTTTCTTTTTTTAATAGATAACCGTGAATGGATCTTAACTCTTTTCAGCGTGCCTTATCTTTTCAGCAGTTAGATTTAAGACCATTGTTATAAAACAGAGGAAGAGATGATGTGCCATTGGGTCACTGACCTGATATGACAGATTTCTAGATACCACGGTCATTGGTTGGTCATTGGAAGGTGCTGAGGGGAACGGAAAACTGGAAAATATATGTACACTTGGATGCCGCTAATCTGGAGATAAGAGTAAAAAATCAAAGACGTAATAATATTTCCAGTAGTCAAAGAAGAGTCCTCAATATTTCCATGGTTGGAAATATCCTGCTAAAAAATATCACATCTAAATTCTCTGACTGGCTATCAGATGTATCCAAGAACGCTAAATATGTTTAATGTAAATATGTTTAGCACTGTAACTGACGTAAAATCGGAAAGAACGGGTACGAATTTTCTGGAAGTCCGATAATTCGAAATTACTACTTTCTGGACGATTTGAGTTGGGGTATTTATCTGTGTATCTGAAGATTTCAAAAGATTTCAAAATTAACTGAAGATTTCGAAAATTTCAAAATTCCCAGTTCTTCCTTCTTCTTCCAAATTCTTCTCCTTCTCCCAGTTCTTCCAAATTAGAAACATTTCACACTGATGAGTCAGTCACAATGAGTCACATCATCTTACAGAATGTTTAGAAATAAGCCATATGCATTTGTGGCAACTGTTCATATGTATATTAATCCAAATGTTGATGGTGTAAAGTGTAATTGATTCGAAAGATAATCGATGGTTTCAATATTATATTCTTCGGAGACTTTCGCAAAGTGTCTTTGCGACATTTCCTTCCATAAATCTTTGCGATAAATATTTCATACTTTTGACAATCTGTCCAAGAATTCATATGCATGATTTGCTTCGTTTAAAGATTGTTAGGACTTTGTTTGCTTTCTTTGAAATAGGTTTGCTATAACTTAGCATGCCTAATATTACAACTAGTGATTTATTTCGGGTACAATACATTCTTTGGCTATGACAGGGCCAGATACTGCAGCTATGGCCTTGTGAAAGACTCTGGCAATATGAAGTAACTGGAAAGTTGTGCGTGATGGGAAATATGATGGATAAATATTCCTGAAGGTATATGAAGCTGTATGCGGAACGACAAAGTAGTTCCATGAAGATATTTTCAAGTTTATTGCAAGTAGAAGTAAAATGTCAATGAATTTTGGTACATCTCGCGTCACTGCATATCCTACCCATTGTAAATTTCCGCTATTCCCTCAAATTTCATATCCTCTACTAATACTCTTATGGGTTTTCTATTCCTGTCACAGCTTTCACGATCACAATCGGTTCTGATCAAAGATTATTCTCCTCGTGCCATTTCCCTTTCACCAATCCTTCCATTTATTTGCATACCGATGTTTGGTAGCAGTTCTTTTCCATGCAATCAATGATTCTCAATTCTCTTATTTCCATATAACTGCTCGACTGGTTGACGCATGCGTGGGAGTTGGATAATTTTGCAGGAAGCCTTTGAAAAGATAGTAATAGTAGGCAAGGGAGCGGAGCAATAAAGGACAAAGTATTGTTTAGGAAAAGAAAATGGCAGTATGTTCTTGTTTGCATTCTGGGAAATAGTCCGGAGAGGAGGGGACGGGGACGGGTGGAAATGATAGATATGGAATTTATTTCCAGACAACGTTAGCTATGAATAGATATATGCAAACCATTCAACAAGAAGAGAGATGCTGGAACTGATAAACATTCAAGTTGGAAAATTATCGTTTCTGCTCCGAAACTTAACAGTTTACTACAAGGAATAATATAGGAAGAATTTCAAATGATAATTTGAAATTTATAAATATTGTTAATAAGTAATGGAGTGCTAAAAACTGAGTAACTCATTTAAGCTAAACAGAACAAGTGTAACATAATGGAGGCTTGTAACCTTTAACCTCAAATTGATGGAATTGATCGGAGTATGTAGAATTGAAAAGTGTGGGAATTAGCATTATTAAATTTAAAAAAGAAGGAATTTTAACAAAATTGGTAAAGTCAGAAAGTAATATGTACTCCATATATAATCAGCTTCTGACCATGAAATTATGCTATTTATCGTATGTTGATTAAGATTCCGTGGCCAGATCAGAAAGATAAAAGTACAGTTAAGATTGATTTGAGCCAGTACAAGTGCAGGATCCTTACTTACTTGGCTAAAATCCTTTGGATAATTACCGGAAATGTGCAGGATAAATGTAATCCTGTTGAAGGATTATCATCCATGACGGGTTTTTCATTTTTTGCTCATGTTTAAAAAAAGAAAAAAAATAAAAAAAACATTTTACAGGGTTCAAAGCAATTACCTAATTCCCGAAGTGGTGTGATATTTTAATATATCATTTGGAGACGGTCGATTCATCCCAGGAAAGGTTCCGGTTGAACGGAATGCTTTTGAATCCCTCCTTTTCCCGTGAAAAATTCTCGACATGTAATTATTAATTAGAAAAAAAACCCGTCCCGAGAAGAAAGAGGAAGTATTTCATAAGTTTGTAAATTTAGTATTGATTGCGTTTTCGATGATTACATCGTCAAAACTTCAAGAATTCTGAGACTTTGAGAGTGATCAGGATTGGAGTAAACATGAAAATCTTCACAGGAAACCTGCATGCTGCAGTACGCCATCTTCTCCTCCTTTCATGTCTTCCGTCTTTGGCGCAAAAAAACCTCAACCGCTCCAAACGGGTTTAAATCTTTCATTTGCAGCATTGGTAAGATTGTTCGTTATCCTTTCGAAATTGCATTCTTTCAATGCACTTTTCACGGATTTCAAGTTCCAAAGTCTATTTGTTAACAATGGAAATAAGCCGGAAAGAGCTTTCCGGTACATTTTAACAATAGGAGGTGTGTATTTGTGTGTGTGTATGTGTGTGTGTGTGTGTGTGTGTGTGTGTGGTGTATGTGTATGTGTATGTGCATGTATATGTGAGTCGATAAATTAATCAGTTAAACATTGAATGCTTTTGGGGCTTACCAGCTCTTGCAAACACATATATTTCAGAATCAATTTTTATTCGATTCTTTCATTATTCAAATTTGTTGTAATTTTTCAAGTTTTCTCATTTATGTTATGAAGGTTATTATTTGGGAGATGAAATTGATTTATATTTTTGCAAAAAAAAAGGAACATTAATTTGCACAAATTGTTTTATTTGTTTATTTTTTCTGGAAACAATGATAGATAACTAATTGAATTGACCTTTTTTAGAATTCATTATTTATAGAAAAAACCATTGAAATTACAACTTACATTTATTTGACCTTTCAATTCGAAATTTCCCTCAATTTCTGCCCCGAAGGAATGAGAGTATGTCACATTTGGACAGAGCCTTAAGGCCATTTAGATCATGTGATCAATAGCATTTTCATGAATCATTTCCTTTTATTTTATCAGCAGTATGCGGTACTATTTGTGCTTTATTATTATCATTCATTCATTTCATTCCTAATTAAACTCTTTTCGTTGTCTCCAAGCAAACCTGTTCGGAACTGAGAAAGATAACTAAGAATGAATTTATCATCTGAAACGCAACTTGTAGTTTTCTTCTCAAGCAAGAAAATATAATTCATGTTAGAAAAAAAAAATAAAATTCAGAAAGAAAGATACTCTCTTCCTTTTAAAGTACATTACAGTTAGATAACAATCTGTTCATTATAGTCATAACACCGGCAGTAAATTGCGTCAGAATTGACAAACACATTACCACTCCAACTGTTAAATTGAACCTTCTTGAAGGAAAAAAAAAACACTCAACAGTAATTGCAATTTTTGCGAGTTGTCGAATTGGTGTGCCTTCAAATGTTGGATAGCAATCGATAACCTATTTTTAAACTTGACATGTTCTTCGGTCGACATGGCCTCAGTTATCCTTGATCATATTCAAATTTTTAACCCTTGAAGCAAAGCACAGAGCCATTTAATCTTATTCATAGCATCTCTTCACTTAAAATTATCAACCTGAACTTTGCAAAATTAAACTGAGCAGTTTAATTGTTAATTTGGGAAGAGGGAGAATCTGGTACATTTTATCGAAACAAAAAACACGTCACAAATAATCATGTCAACCTTTTACCTCTGAACTTCATCAGCTTCCTCAAACTTTGATATGTACAGGTAAACAATTGTCGGATATTATGATAAGTTCGAAACAGTATACAAAAGTATAAAATTTTGAATTAAGCGTCCACAATCAATAATTCTAAAATCCGCCAAAAAGACGAAGAAGGTAACTAAACTTGACATTACTGACAATTTCCGAAAACATTGGTGGAAAAAGCAAATATTTTCAAAACTAATCTGAGTATTTGCCAAGACACCTGACAAACACAAACTTTTGACAAAAAGACCATATGATATTTAAATTTGGCAAACCACTGCGCTATTCGAGTACTCGATGCTAATCGATATGATCTAATTCATGTGATCATTTGTTTCGAATTGGAGCGAACTTTTCATCAATCAGTAAATTCTAATAATCAAATACAAAAGTTATACTTCTCTAACGTTAAGTATTGCAAATACCACGATATTTATAGTTTCTAATCATAAATCAAAAAAAAAAAGAAATACAAAGAATTTATAAATCATAAATTTATAAATCTATAAATTTTGTAAAACAAGAAAAATTAAACCTAAATCATCATACGTTTGTTAAATAAATGTAACTGAATACTTTAGTATTCAACAACTTATTAGAAATGATCCGGTTACGCCGGGACCGGAGAAGAATCTTAGTTTAATAAAAAAGAATCGTGTACTGCTTTCTGTTTGCAACTTTTTTACAGAATATTTTGTCAGAACACTTATGGTCCATTTGTATTATCAACTATCATAGATGATTTCAGGAACTACCGATGAAAATTATGCTTCCATATTCCAGCTATATACATTTCAATTCATAACTTAAAATGGTGCGTACATATAAATGCTTCGATTTGAAATGTCATCCTTATCCGATAGTAATAACTGACTAATTCTTCGAGATAAATTTAAAAAAAGAAAGAATCCGGATCTATGTGAAAAAATTTGAGCATTTCCGGTTTAAAAAATTCAATTTAGCTATAGAAATCAAGATATAAAGAAGTATAGAAAAGTTAAAAATTGATTAATATTAAATCCCTGATAGTTTTCGAATGTTTCTTTATTGTGGCACGAAGCTATAATTACAGAGGTCTAGCAGATCATCGATCACATAGTTCTGCCATAAATCATGATCAATGATCTTTATTTTAGTTCACCATTTTTATAAACATACTCCAATGAACAATAACCTGCATATTCTAGCTGTAAATTCAACTTTTTTAATTAAAGCCAGTAATTAAGGAATCCGAGATATCATTCACGTTAATGGCCTATTCAGAAAGGATTGGTGGTACAAGTCATCGACAGTAAGTAATGCTGTTATCAGTTGACAGTGATTGAACCACAAGTAAAATACTATTGCAACAAATTACTGTTGTAGTAAATAATTGTTATATCTAACAGGAAGAATCATTTATAGTTAATACTTCCATTACGGCTTAGTTGAGTTCAAATATAAATAAAATTTTTAATGTCATTTTTCATTTTAACTTTTAAATTTTACTTTTTTACAAAGGAAAACATGTTTTTTTAATCAAATTCATCAAAAATAAGAAATATTTTTGGTAACGGACGTGATTGTTCGTTGTCTTCACTAAACGAGTTCCTTTTCATGGGTACGTAAAGAAAGGATCTAACAGGAGTAGATGACATTGGTACCATACAAACCTTTGTTGGGTAGTCAATTCGTTCTGACTGGTGGGCAAAATTTCCGGATTAATGGAAATACGAGATAAAAATTGATGTTATTATCGTTTTATGTAACTATTTTGGATTTTTTGCTACAATTAAAGGTAGCATTTGCAGGGTATCAAATGCTTTTGATATGATTTCCGGTATCACAAAATTTTTGTTATCACCAATAACGTTATTATTACTTTAGAATTATTTGCCATTGCTTATTACCGATAATGATTAGGAGTAAAATTGAAATAATGAATCAAAATAAAGTCAGCAAAACATCGTTTACAATCATTTATTATTCACAATAGAGATAAGCTAATTTGCATTTATAGCTGGATTTTCTATTCAATAATTATTCCTTCAAAGGTGAGGAATTGAAATGTGGTATCAGTGTTGACACTTTAATCGATAAATATTGCTGTCGGAATGTTTTTCCCTGATATGATTATACTGTGTGTGTTATAATCATTGAGCAAATTGTGCAAATTGGATGAGGTGAAACTTAATTCAGTTACATGACACCACAAATAATGCTATTTTTACATGTCCTGTTCAAGTTTGCAGTTTCATTCCAGTATGATCAGTCATTTTAGTTCAAAAGTCGTATGCTCCAATTCCGCTTCGAGTGCTGAAAGGTTTGTTTACTGTGGAAGGTTGGACTTTTACAAATTCTTTTATGCTTCATGGAGAAAAACGTTCATTTTTGAATAGAAATTAGTTGCTGAACGATTGAAAAAAAATCATCTCCATCTGATCTGACCTCTTTCACCCAAAATCGACTTTACTATTCTTTCTTTCTTTTTTCGTTCACCTTTTCTCTTTCTTCTTCTCTACGCTTCCATTTTTACATCTTTTGACAAAGTACCACCCCAAATTAAATACAAAATCCAACCTATAAAAGTCAGCCAAAAGACCGATAATTCGGGGGAGGGGGGGGGAGGGAGGGAGAGTGGAAAATGACATTTCTGTAAAAAGGATTAATTCCGTTAATGCCTGTACAGTCAGACTTGTTGTTTGGCTGAATGCTATTTTTAATACCGTTTCCATTTATATTTCTTCTGAAAATTTTCTGTTTTTCCTTCGAAATGATAAAAATTTCCCGAGCGTTGATTAATGTTTTAGCATATATCTTTTGGATTTTTTTAAGTTTAATAATTTCAGAAATGATGACAAAAACGAAAACTGAGACAACCGTTGGATCTTTTGGGATAGAAAGTAAAAAATGTGAGGATGAAAGACATCGTAATAAACAAGGCTTAGGATGGATTATAACGAGTTTTTTTGTCGTCGGTGATTTAGCCGGTGGTGGAATTGTCGCCTTACCAGCAGCTATTGTGCAAACAAGTAAGTTTGAATTCTACACCTCTGAAAATTTAAAACAAAACTTTAAGGATATTAAATTTTCAACTTTTCTACAAAATGGTACTTTTTCGGTATTTCAGGTATATAAAAGATAAAATTAAAAGACAAAGTCATATTGGGTTTTAGATTTTTGGCCCGGATTAATAATGAACACTGTGATGGCTTTAGCAATGACATACACAGCGCACATGTTGGGTCTTAATTGGGCTATCCTGCAGCGCAGATGGCCAGAATATCGGGAACACTGTCGTAAACCGTATCCTGAAATGGGTGCACGCGCAATGGGTAACACTGTAAAGTAAGGCCACAGCTTTTCTGCCGAAATTTCAATGGAAAGTAAATTTTTAAATTAAATAGAAAAAATCAATAAAATATGCAAGTAGAAAGAATAGTTTTTTTCCGAATGATTATTTCTAATAATTCATGCAAATGGAAAAAGTAGTTATTTAATGTTGAAATTCATGGCAAAACATATTCTTTTTGACAGTGAAAATACTTTGTTAACAGTTAAGGTTAGGTGAATTTACATCCGTAACCAAGCTAAACTTTGATCTCTCATTTGAATGTGTCACTTCGCCCAGTATACTAAAGCATTTTTCTATTTAAATACCAATTCTGTTTTCCATTTCTTCACACATTCCATTCCAAATGTTTCTGTTTATTTTAAATATAATTACAACTCACATATATACTGCAAGAATATGAACTTGAGGTATGAACACGTGTATTAAACGGAAATAAAAATAATGTATAACAATATATTGGAATTAGTTTATTAATGAACTTTAGTAGTTCCAAGTTTACTAATTAATAGTTTATCACCATTTAGGCATATAGTATCGGTGTGTATTGACGTAACACAGTTTGGTATCGCTGTTGTGTACCTGTTGTTATCAGCAAAAAATATAAGCGATTTTATCGATGCCTTCTTCAAAATTGAAATATCATTTTGTTATGTATTGTTAGCAGTTGGTATTTGCCTCCTACCGATTACATTCCTGAAGTCGCCACAAGATTTTTGGTAATTTCACTTTCATAATATTCAAAATAATCCTGTAAGAATCGTGATTTTTCCATAATATAGTGACAATATTGTGACACAGTGAGTTCAAATTAGAATTCGAGAATTTCTTGAAAGTTTTAGAGCCTAAAAATGTTAATTTTCTACTGTTTGGTATCCAGTTCATTTAACCAAACATCCAAATCTAAAATAATTCTGGAAATGAAATTTTAAAGGTGGGCTATAATACTGGCAATGATTACAACAGCGCTTGCTCTAATAATGGTTATGATTGGCGCAGTGATGGATTATTCCACTTGTGCTCCGGAAAGGGCCATTAACAAGAATATCGTACCGTCGAACTATTTTCTTGCTCTTGGAACCATTTTATTTTCCTATGGTGGACATGCCGCATTTCCAACGATTCTTCATGACATGCGGAAACCGTATCACTTTACACGGTCATCCGTTATGGCATTCGTTAGTAAGCTACTTTCCTATTTTCCACACTCTCTAAGTGTTAACTGAAGTTTATACAGGATTTTTCAGTTTCATATAAATTTCCCCTTTGCACAAAGAACATTCTTATCTTATGACCAATGCAGTAGGGAAGTTCAAAATATGGCGAAAGCGAGGTATGGAAGAGTAAAGATAATTAGGAAAGAAAGCGAATATGCTAACTTAATGGACTGGAACATAATTTTTGCAAGTTTCTAATTTGTCCAATTTAATTAATTATCATGTTTTAAGTCTCAGTTAGTAATTACAAATTGTCTGTTTTTTAATAAATTAAGTGGAAATTACGAATAATTCTGAAAGTAGAAATGTACAATTACAGTTGTGTATATGCTTTACACACCGGTCTGTATTCTGGCTTATATGACGTATGGGAATTCCTTACGTGAATCCATTCTTAATTCTGTTCAAAATACAGCCTTACAACAGGGCGCTAATATTTTGATTACTCTTCATTGTATACTTACACTCACTATTGTGTTCAACCCTCTCAATCAGGAAGCTGAGGAAATGTTTGGCGTCCCACATCGTTAGTTCTCACTTATGATTAGCTTTCTTATAATAATAATAATTAACAA